GCCCTTTATGAAAGAAATGATCAACGTGCTGGGCTCAGGACAAAGAACAGCACCTTACTTGCTGTTTCATCCCTCTCTAGCCTTGTGCTTCAGTAAACAAGCAGGAGCTCCCAAAGTGACTCAATCACTCTTGAAATGTCTCAAACAGATCTGACAGTTGATCGGCACTTTAGAAAGAAAATGACCTTTTTCTCACACACAATAGCCTTAATAGTTCCTTGCTGTATGTTTGAAGTGTGTAAAATATAGCCTATTTGATCTTGAACAAAGTAAAAAAATTAAACAAACAAAACCATATCGTAGCCCTCTTTGTAACAACAAAGGCTAATATAAAAGGAAGGATGAAGAAGAGGACACATTCTCATTCATCTTGTTTCCTTTTTCTTTCAATTGAGTGTTACTCACTTAGTTCAACCAGTAGAGTCTTCTGCTGAATTCATTCCCTTTGGAGATCACCAGATGTCCATGTTAACCCAAGTGTTCCATTTACCACCAGCCCACGTGGCCGCAGCCAAGTAAACGCTGACCTGGCTCTGCTCCAGGAAGTCTTAATTTGCCCAAATGTACTTCTAGCTCTCGGTAAACCTTTTGCTCAGCCACATGTTGTAACTCTTAAATCAGCTATTCTTTATTCTGTATGGGTTGGATCTCATGTTACACTTCAGAACTCTGAGCCAAAGACCAGTAAATAACTTGGGAGCCGGAGATGAGGGGAGAGGGAGCAAGAAGTCATAGCTGTGTAAAATACTTCAAAGGCCTCATTAGATGTCGGTGTAGCTGCTGCGTTAGATATCAGTTGTTGCTGTCAACTGATCTGTTTGACTTGGTGGTACTTTGAGAGATTGCAGTTGACAGAACAATATCTACCACCACCAGTTCATGTGACAAAGAGGTGTTTAATTTTTTTGATTTAGAGGTGCTGACTTGCTTTGGTGGATCTTATACCTGCCTTTCGCATATGCCCCCCAGCTGTTCCTATGTCTCAAATCTATGTTTTACCCATTGCTGTGGTGAGAGGGCTAATGTGTGAATTCAGCTGAGAGCTTGTAGTGGCTTCCTCACCCATCAAAATGGCATTGTTGAGAACACCCTAGGCAGAGGTAAGGTGCTGCTGCTTGTCGGAGTTTTCAACTGTACCATTTCAGAGATGTTAGCATAAGAAACCTTCTTCAAGCCAGAATTTAAAGGAAATGAAGCAATTTTTTTTTAAGTGAAAGCAGGTATCTGGCCTTAGGTCCTTTGCTTTACACTGGATCATCACAAACGGCAGCAGTAAAAGGTGCTTGTGGCAAAGCCTGCAGCTGCTCATGGGGAAAAATAGCAGTTTGTGTAGCCTTTCAATTACTGCATAGCCACTTAAAAGGGAAAATGTTACTTTCTAGTTTATGTCTTTTTTTTTCTTTTGATCTTTCAAGTCTGCTACAAAAATTACTGATATTAAGATTTGGATTTTTGAAAGAGGGGATATAATCTGGACATGACATTAGGATGCTGGGACTCTTTCTAACTTGGTTTCCCAAGCTGCCTGACACATATCAACTACTGAGCCTGCCTCACCTCTTCTATTATAAAATGTTGCTGTTATTTACATACTTCAAAAGGACTGGTTAATTAACAACAGCTTGTAGAGTAATTTCAAGATGGAAAAACATGGCAATTACTGCAAACAGTAAAGGCACTGCAGGCTAATTTTCATTGATGATCATGTTGATTAACAAATTTACAACTCTAATAAACACTGTTACTGCTTTTGAGTGCAAGAGCAGGTGAAGAGTTGCCATGAGAACTGATGCAGCTGAGTGTGTTGCAGTTCAATGCTACTGACGTATCTTTATTATTATGATAATTGCGTTCATTGATTACTGAGAGTAGATTTACCAAAGTGAGAGTCTGTCACTCCCTCTGCCTGATGGTGTACAAGCTGTGTGCCATCTCAAAGGAGTAAGTACCTGGTGACAGTCTCACTCCCCTTTCTCCTTCTTCCAGCCACCTTATGATGGGCTCTCTCCCAGCGGGATGCCAACACAAACCAACAGAGCTGTGTAGGGCACCATACAATCAGGATGCTGTATAGCATGAAGAACAACTTATGAGCATTGCCCCTTTTTTTGTTCTCAATGTTAATCACCAACACTCTGAATTTGTTTAACCTTCTCTTCTTTAAGAGATGGCAGGTTTCCTTTATTTTTTTTTTTTTTTAAAATTGAGACATTTTGCAATGACTTAGGGCAATAATAAGAATCTTCTACCCAGTAGTTTGAGAATTTCAGGACACTTCTGTTTTCTATCTGTCCTTATCTTTTTTTTTTTTTTTTTAATTATATCCAGCTCCAGTAAATGGTCCACTGGGTAGTGAGAAATGAACTAATGTCAAAGTAATCTTTACTATTTGCATAAAACAGCTAAAACTGTCATTTAAGAGGGATAAATATAGGTACAATCCTCATCTCATACTTTTCAAACTCTTGTCTTGTGAGTTAATACCACATTGCCTTAGCAACACAATTAAAAACATATTTTAAAAAGGAAAAGACACTTTACTTTCTCCTGAGTAATGAGATGAACAGTTCTTCTCTGCTGCCCTGTTCTTATTTTCAGTGACATATTTGCTTTCTTTTAAAAAAGAAAATTACGTTTTGTGCATTTGCCTTTTCTCAACATTATGGACATTTTAACATAAGCAATTGCTGAAAAATGTGCACCTTTGACATAATTTGGCTTTCAGATGATCAGCTGAGAAGAGCTGACATTCTTGTCCTTTGCATGTTTCTGTTAATGTCATCACATAGCTATGACCTAATGTAAACGTGTATATATTATAAGAAGCTTGTTCTGAAAGCACAGTTCTGCCTCTTTTCAGCTGTGTGCTGCAGCCATCAAGGTAGGACAACCTGTCTCTCTCCCGTCTGCCTCCCTAGGCAACATTGGCACGGGGGTAGCTTGGATTGCTTCATTGGGTTTTGTGGGTCTTTGATCCCACTCATGGTCAACAGATCAGTATCTTGCTGTTCAAAGACCTAGGCCATGAAATTTGAGCTCCAGAGTCTGACAGTGCTGGGCTGTTCCTAATGGATGTGCTACAGTACCAAGGTACGGGGAACAGGGCTTGGCTCCATAACTCCATAGGTAGAACTCCATAGGTAGTTGCAACAGCACAGGGCTGTGTCTTGCCTTTTAACCGATGTGAGAATAAATCAGAAAAATTTCTGAAGTAATCTGTGCGCTATGGAGGGCCTTTGTGTGTTTTAATAATTCTGATTTTGCCTGAACATTAAAGCTGTGTGATCACACTTTACACTCAGGGAACTATTTGCAACTGCAAGTAAGTAGCCTGGTTTTCTTGCATAGTCAGTGAAAAACCAGACCCCTTCAGAGAGCAGTTCAGAACCAGTATTTCTCTTAGTACCCCAAGGACTGGTGTCTCTCTCTCCATTGACTAAATACAAAGCCCAAGAATACTGTTTTGCTACTATAGGCACTTCAGTTAGGTAACTGCAACAATGCATAGAAGTAGTTTGCGTGGGACCATTACAAATTGCCGTGGTGGAACGCCATTGTCTCTTTACAGAGTGGAAACAGCCATAGTGAAATGCTGTTGTGTCTTTACAGGGCGGATATGGAAAAAATAGCACTTGATTTATGCTCCTTGTGCACATTCAGAAGCAAGTCTGCTAAGTAAATGGGAGTTTATTGGCTTGTTCCTGTTATCACGGCACAGCCAAGTAGGCAAAGAGTAGTCTGGTTTGTCTCTGTACCACCAGCAAACAGGTAGTCACCTACAAAGTCCAAATCAGTTACAACGCGTAACACAACACAAAGATGCCAATAAGAGCATAATCTGAACACGAGGTGCTGTTTTTTATTAGAAAAGCCTTTAATCCTGCTAAATGGTGCATGTAAGGCAAAGGACCAGATTAATTTAAGATCCTAGTTGAGCTTGGAAGGCTGAACTGAGCTGATCTGATGAGCAGCTGATAAACGTAGACAATCAGAATGTCACTTTAACAGGATCTGTATGAAAACGAATAGTTCTTTTCCTTGAGTGGCTGCTCACAGCTCATCGCCAGAAATACAACTTTGGTTTTATTTTTCAGTTCGTGCACCAAAGTGGAAAGTGCATGCATTAAAAGAGAACCTATACAAATAAATTCATAACATTAGCACGATGCAGCATGTCATTAAAAAGATAAGTAATAAGGTTTGGGAATAACGTGAACAGCTTGACTTTTCCCTGACTATTACTTAAGAACTTGAAATGTGAGGTGTGTTAGAGTTAATGAAAACCACCCTACATGAAATAATGACATAATGTTAAGGGCTCTGGGCCTTTTTATTGGCACAGTAAAAGCAGAAAATACAGACCACCCGCTGATTGATCTCACATCATAATATTTTGATTACTACTAATAGTCACATGCCTCAGTAATCTTGAGGACTCTGGTACATCAGTCCTGCTCCCACTGCGTTCTGTGGCAGAACTAAGCCTCCCATAGATTTCACTAACTACAGAACGTAGCCTTGAAGCGTGAACCTAGAAACAAGGATATGTGGTTATTTACTGAGCTTTCTGTGTGATTACAGTGGCAAAGTCCTTTTGTTCTTAGTCAAATAAATTTCTTATCTCCATTAATTGTAATTAGGGCTACATGAGAAACCAAGTTTTGGTATTTTATATTTAGAAACAAAAGATTTCTGTTTAGAAGAAGGGGGAAGGGGGTGCTTTTTGTATGCAGCACTCATGCACTCATCTATGAAGTGTGAGTTGCAGCTAAGCCTCTGAGCTTGCAGCTGGAAGGGGGTGCTTGGTGGGTGTAAAGCTCTCTGCTAGCAGATCCAAAAAGGATTATAGTCTCAGCATTTGTTATTTTACATTTTCGGCTGATACTGGTAGCTCCTCTTTACCTACTATGTTTTACCCCTTTTATCCTTAACAGCAGGAGCTGACCACCACTTTCAATGCTCTGCTGACATTCTTTCTCACCCCCTTGGTACTTTTTCAGACCTGCAGCTCCCAGTCATCACTCCAGAGTGCTCCAGCCAGCGTGGGTTGTCAAGGGCCAGTGCTGCAAGCAACGTGTCCCAGGGTGGTGAAAACACTGACAAGACACGTCCTGCCCATCTGCGGTACTGGTGGAAGCAGAGCACGAGCGCACAGCTGTAAGCCGATGATACCCCACCTTGGAAACTGCGAGTGCTTCATCATACTTTTAGTTGGGGGTCAGGGACGCAGAACGTAGCAGGAGAGGAGAATGCAGCAGATGGAGCGCTTGGATGTATTGCATCTCTCATACCTGCATAGTGCTTGTTTCTGTACAAGCCAAGCTTGAACGTGTTTTATGTGTGAGCAGCTAAGCCTTTATGTTGAGGGTACTGAGACACCTAGACAGATAAATATAGACCCAGAGACACCCTGAGAGATAAATACAGACCCAGAGACACCCCTGAATGTTTAGGTCTCATAGTGGCTGGGCTATTTCCTGCTCACATCCCTGCCTTGCCTCTACTACAGACACACATAGGTAGTGGTTTGCACAGAGACCCTCCCTTAAGAGAAGAACTAAGAAGTACTTGAAAACCGTCTGTCCAAGTTGTTTTTCCTATATTACGGTATCTAAAAAATTTTATGCTCTGAGGCCCTACTATTCTGCAGGGGGAGAGAAAGGTCTCTTTAAGATAAATATTATTAGACTCCCTTAACAGATAGCAAAATTGAGGTCTGGAAAGGCCACATATTGCCAGAGATTACACAGAAATGGGAGGGGAGCCCTGTGTCTTTTACCAGGAATCTGTCTTTGAGACCCATAATTTGTATAGTCATCTACTTATTGCATTTGCTATGAGGTAGACTGGTACTCAGAGATTTTAACAGGCAGAATAATAACAACATTTGTGAATATGCCCAAGTGTAGCTCAGATTTCCCCAAGTAATGAGCTTTTAAATAGTAGATTTTTTTCCCTTGGCTTTGTGGTTTTTTTCTGTCCTGTTTCTATGGTTGATTCTTTTTGTGTGGACTATGGGAGCTGTAGGCCGATATCTAGAAAGCCACGGCACTTCCTAGACAAAGTTAGCTTGCATAATTATTTTATGTTTATCTGATTTATTATGGGTTATTTCTAGGTGTCACAGTCACTCATAGTGTTTGGAATCAATAGTTCATGGCTTTCATTAAGGAAAGCAAGCAGTACCATATGTTTGTGTCCCTATATTTTGTTGAAGAAAGCGCTAACAATAGTGCAGTCTTTTCCATAGTTTGTTGGTTTTTGTTGGGTTTTTTTGTTTATTTTTTTTCTGAATTCACTACAAATCAGTGTTAAATTTGGGTACCTTGACTATGCACTTCTGTTATTTAAGCTGCTTGGATTTCTCTAATGTTTCTACCCTCACTCTGAATGTCCTGGGTTTGCAACAATTACAACTTGCCCACAATGCATTTACCTGTATGTACTCTCCAACATAACTCCCTCCTAACAGATACTTTCTATTTCTATTTAAGATTTTAAAATACTGAAAGCAATAAAAAGACTTGATATTAAGCTTTGTTCCAGCCTGCTTGGTTTCATCTATAGTGTTTAACTCAGTGAAGAAAAGGCTGATTTCCTATTTCCAGTAATTTCACTGTTTCACTATTTTCTTAGAGCTCATTTTCGTTGTTTGCAAAAGCACTTCATTAATGGTATGTATTCTTACTGCTTTCCAGGAATCAAATATCAGCTTCACCAGACCACAAGGATATCCTTAAAGCTCAAGATTTTTCTGTCATCATCAAAGCCTATGTGCTTGTGACATCCTTAACACCTCTGCGGGCATTTATTCATTCAACTGCCACTGTCTGGCATCCACCCAAAAAGAAGCACTTTTCTGTAAAGGTAAAACACTTAATTTCCTAATTTTTCCCTCTTTCAGGCAAAGTACAGAGTCAGAAAAGCACACCACATCTTCCTTCTCTTTAACCTCTTCTTTATTTGCAGCCTCTAGCTGACACATGAATATTCTCCTAATGCACAGCTTTTGTTTCTCAGAATGAGTGGGGTTCAATTTATGAAGGAGGGAAGAGTTGCCATGTGCAGGGGATGTGTGAAAGGCTCTGAGATTTGCTCACTTCAGAGCCCATTTTTATTGGTGACATTTGGCAGCAGTTGCAAGTTTTTCGCTAAAGCCCAGCAATGGGGGTGCTGTTATGCAGTAACATCTTTTGCTTGGATATTGACAGTGTTGTAAAAGAGGAAAGTAAATATTTAAAGTAGTTTGTTTAGATTTCTTTTTTAGGTGCAGTAAAACAGAATGGAGGAGGGTTGGGGCACTTCTAAACAAGGGAAAGGAAGTATACCATGGAGAGGGCAGGCCGCCCATGGTCTCTTGGTTTTATGAAGAAGGATGTTTCACATGTGCCTTAGTTGGATTAACTCTGGACATCTCCAAGTGCCTGGAGAGACCCCTCTGTCTCCACATCTAGTGTGCTCAGTCTTATGGATTTCCAAGCGTGCCTTCCCACTCCTTTGTTCCTTCAGCAAGGAACTGCTCTTGCAACAAAGCAGCTCTTCGTGAAGGAACTACAGTTCTGCAGCTGCTCCTTTCCTTTTGAAGGAATAAAGTCACAAAGTAGGAGTGCTTTCTTGTGGTTACATAGCTCAATTCCTGCAGCAGTCATCTGAGGATGGGTGCACTTCACCCACGTAACCCTCTTGGGGTAGGAGCAGGTCTCGGCTTTGGATCAGTCTGAGTGTTGTGGCACCACCGTCAGGACTCTTGATGATGCCGGCCATTTGGTATGTTCTACAATTTTAGCTCTCTCAAAGTTAAGTGTCCTGTCTAAGCTCATTATCTAATTCTAGTTATTGAAGAAACAGACATCTCAGGAAAACAGATCATCCCACCCAATTTAGACACTAATTTTGGAATGAGATGAGTTTCCTGCTAAAAGTGTCTGCTTGCTTCCATGGACTATGACATTCTTAGAGAACATGCCAAATTCTAGATTGCCAAAATTAGGTGAGAACAACCTCCTTCTCTTTCTTTCTCCTCTGGAAAGCTATGGAAACCCACAGAAATATATTATTTTGCCATCTCTTTTCCTCTATTTACATTTAGAAAGACTAATGGTCACTCACTTTCAAACCTTGGGGTTCAGTTTTGGTTTATGTTTATTAAAATAGCACGATGTCCAGCAGCATCACTATCACAGCTGATGTAGGGACTACTTTAAAGTTTAGTAGCCATTAGTAATTGTGATATGGCTCTGTAAAATAATTCTGACTGAGGGAAGTCTGCTGAACGGAATGCCAGCCACCATTTACAGAACATTTTGGCAGCTGAAGATGCAATAAAAATGACGGATAGAAGTAGCAGCACATCTACGGTAGTTCAAATCTGGTTACTGCTGCTGTGGTGTTATATATTCCACAGCTTTAGGAAGACTTGTCAAAATGGCAAGAAATAAACAAAAAATAGGCACCACAGAAAGCATATTTATAATGATGTATAGATTGAAATGCAAATTAACAAAATGATAGAAAGTGGGGTGTATAAGACTGTCTCTCATCATAAACAGTGTGCCCTATAAAGAACCTGGGAGGAGTCAGGGAGTCTCCAGGAGAAGTGAGACACTGAGAATCCATGGAGTGGCAAGACAGCACTACTGGGACAATCATAGAGAGGTTTCTGTGCTTGATGCAGAGGCATTATGCAGGAGATCATCAGTCAGAAGACAATACTTGGAAGAAGGTTGGAATTCAATCGTTGATATCATCTGTGATGAGATTACATCAAGTTTCTCATAAACATCAAGGAGATGTCCCTTGTTGCCAGTGGGATGTACAATGCCAGCAGAGTGATCTCCTCTCCCAAACTAGCCAGTGGAGCTACACATATTTGTACCAGCCAAGGAGCCTGGTCCAGAAAGTTCCCGAGCTTGCAGTTTCTGCCAACTGTATTGTGTACGATGGAAAATTGTTTGTTACGTTGTGAAGGTCCAACCTGTCAATAGTCAGTAAAGACAGAAAGGAGCTCTGAGACCTGTTCTCTCCCTGATTAACAGAATACCCATCGGTGTCAATGGCAACTCAACATTACTGCAGAGGAGACTTTGCTCTGGGAAAATTTGCTAGTGTTTAATGTGTTTTTCTCCAAGAGCAGCTGACTGAATTATTTTTTTTTTTTAAATGAACAGTTGAGAATAATTTTAATCTGCTGTGTTACCATCATAGATGTGCTGCTTTCAGTAATGTTGCACAATAATTTAGAGACCTCCTAAGTGTACACAGGCCTCTGGTCAGCAAATTTTCTCATACCAGTGTAATTAAACTATTGTTGATGAAAAAATGATCCACAATTGTGGAAAGTTTACATCTATTCTATTAGTAAAGTTTTACAACCTTAATATCACAAACTGAGTATGTGAAGTTTAAAATTAGATCCCCTATGTACAACACCACTTTATGGTTCAGACAAGTAACCAGAATGTAGTATACATGAAGGAGAGATTTTTTAAAAAAGACCGGAGATGGGGAACCAGATGATATCAAATGTTTATGACAAAGTGCATAAAGAACAACCAGAATTTTAATTAATTAAATAATACTGCGTTCTTCACTGCTTCTTTGTTAGTAAACTATTTTAAACTACTTTTACAACTTGCATTTACTTATCCTAATCATAGTGGCAAGGCTTCAGAATGACTTTTTGAATAAGCATTGGCCAAATGGCAGTTCAGGAAGAGTTCAAGTGTGTTTTGCTCACCAGCTGCCAGGTTTTCTCTGGATTATACATATTTTAATATCTCAGCTCAGAAAGCAAAGGAAGCTAAATCCTGAGCTGGCATGAGGATTTTGTATGTCGTCAAGGGGCGGCAAAAGCATGACCCCAGTTTTGGGCCCTGGTTGCAAAGATGCAGGAAATGCAGGGGAGAGAATGGCTTTCTGCCACACTAATGTTTTGGTATGAGACTTGCGTAATGACCTTATTTCCTTGAGGAAATTTGGAAACCTGTTATTTAGACCATCTGTGCGTTGAAAAATTAATAACAAAATAGAAGCTTTTTACTTTGCATATGGTACCAATTAAGGGCTGGGTCTCTGTCAATGTGTGCAATAATTCCCTTCATATTAATCGACATTATGCCTGTGTGTTGAGCAGAAGGCTGACCCCCGAATGATTTTCCATTGTATTGAAGCAAAACAGTCATTTACGATTAATTTTCCCAAGGTTTAACACGCTGTGAAGTGCTTCCTTTGCCCAGCCATTAACCTTTCCCAACCTGCTCCCAGTCCTTAACAAAGGGATGCGCTTTTGTAGACGCAGCTTTGCACAGCCCTTGCTCTGGCTCACCGTCCCTTTGCTCCTCCAACACAGACAGTCAGGTGCCTCCTGGATTTGAATTCCTCGGCTGGTGCTCTTGCACAACCCTCAATACCCTCAGCTTAAACTACGCTCTGAAGTAATTTTCCAGTTGTGCAGTGAAGTAAACATAATTTATTAAAGCAGTTTGCTCTTAAGCTTACTGTGGTATAAGTCACTCTGTCGCTGAAATTCTCTCTCTGTGCATTAAGCGTCTGGAAACTTGAGTAAAAGAAAGATTTTTTTCCTACTTACCATATACGCAAATAAAGCTGGACCCTCACCTACCCAGGAAATAACATCTTTTAGTATGACGTGCAGGTCTGGCTTAGAGCCCAACAGTGTGACAATTAGGTTGCAGTATTGCCCTCAAGCGGCCGGTTTTGATACTACCGCAAGTAATAGCCACAGCAATTTAATGTGAGCTGGAATCCCGACATACATGCAGATAAAGAGCAAAATGCTTAGAAACGGCAGAAAGGCTCAGAATTTTTTTCCTTTTTTCAGTTTTTGAATTCCATATTTTCTGCCCTGTCACTTAGCAGAAGCAAATACAAACGAAAATTACTATCAGCTCTTAATCAATTAGATTGCAGGGTTATTTGGGACTAAAATTAAATTTGTTCAGTAGGTTCTGTAAGAACTTAGCATATGCATTTCACTGTTCTTGCAAGTAGCCTGTGTAGAGAATCAAATGGTCTAACACTCTCCTTCCTGGGATACTGAGCATAACATAAATGCCATCTCTGTTTTCTATCCTCAAAATGTCTAGAGCCCTATAATTTCTCTTTTCACTGATACAAGAACGAAAGCTTGTCTGGACTGGGGGAGATCAAAGACATGCTTGGTCTGACATTCAGTTTCTGGCAAGAACCAAGCAAGAAGGCACCATGAAACTGTGTAACAGGACAAAACAAAGTGGTACTCATCCTTAGACAGACTATAGCTATTTCTGGTAGCCTGCAAGGTAAGACACACAAAATTGGAAGTGAAATGTACATCTTTATGTCCAGTAAGCTCTAATGGACTTTTATGCCAGGCAATTATCTACTAGATTTTTTCATTCGTTGATGCTTTTGGTCTTCCCAACATCTTGTAGCAATGAGACTCTACAGATTATGTATGTGTTGCTTAAGAAACGATATTTGTTTAACATTTCTACTTGATTACTTAATTTTGTACCCCTTATTCTTGTCTTCAGAGAAAGAATGAGCAATCTTTCCTTTTCTACCTTCCCTATGTTTGTGCCAATCTGTTATGCAGTGAACAAATAAAGTTAAAATTCTTCCTGGAGTTTTTTTCTGCTCTTCTCATTATGAACATACCAGTTTAGCTAGTAAGAGCCCTAGACAGATTATTTTTTATAATATGTGGATATGTCATAAGTAAGCCTTTACTATACAGGTCCTTATATCGGCCTTTCTCCTGGATCACAGATCCTCTCACTTTGACTGTTGAATCTAGCCAGATCTGTAAGCATGACCCTCTGGGGTTCCCAGCTTTCCCAGACCTGCCTCCCGTTATCCTGATTCTT